TCTTAATGCTTTTTTAAAGAAGGAAATGACCAGCAAACCTTAAAGAAGGAAAAATGCAACTATTGGAGTTTAACAAACAGATCTTTCCTGCAGCAGTGGAAAGAAGACAAAAGCAAGGTGTAGAAATTAGATAGATAAGTCTTCCCTGAATTTTTCGACAATAATAAAGCAGAACATGTACGCATTTTTAATGATTTGCTGTAACCAAATGCGAAAGCTTGTTTCTGAAGAATCTTGTTATGGGTGATGTATCACGGCTACTGTTTAAAAATGTTAAAAGAAGATTTGCTGGGTGTTTTCTGAAAGGAATACTTGATAAGTGGTGTTAAAGTAAGATCACCTCCAAGAATCGTGACTTCTAAGCTCATGAAATGAATAGACTGCTAGCAAATAGGGAGCAATTTATGAAGTGGATAGCAATTACACTCATATTAATTATTTAAACACTATTGTTAAATATTCTTATCATTTTGCTAAACAAAATTTATTTAAAAAATACAAAAATAATCATGCATTAACCTAATAGTTATGACAGATTTATTCTTTTGCTTTTGTTTATTGAATAAATACTTTTTAACATTTTTTAAGCATGTTGTGGAAAATCTTTTTCCAAAGAAGATATAAAATTTTGAAATTAAGATATAAAATATAAAAAATAACTTTTTTTTATGAATCGTTAAATTTTCAGCCAAAAAATCTTTTTTCAAAATTAAATTTACTTTTTCTGGTAAAAAGTTAAAAAGGTAAAAAGATCACTACTTCCTTTTTTAAAAGGAAATAGAGAACTATGAGATTAAATAAAATATACTTATTGTTAACTTGGTAAATAAGGGGTTTATAAATTATCTATAAACTAACAGATAAATCTCTATAATTTCTTAGCATAAATTTAAAATTGATTATTATCAAAGCTATTTTAACATAAAATACTCCAATAAAACTTGCACACAAAGAAGAAAGAAAAATCATACACCAAAGAGCAAGTCACTCTTGCAGTGATCAAGGAACAAAGTAGCAAACTTTCATCCAAAGCTGCTTAGTCATTCAGCATATCAGTAGCATCAGAGTTGCATTACCACATGTTCTGCAGCACAAGATGACAATATTTATTGTTGTGTAAAAAGAGTTCTATGCAGAGACATAGTTAAGCAATTAAAAGAATGCTTTAGTCACTTGAAAGGAAAACTTTTCAAATCTGGTGAAGTTATTAAATGTACAAAATAGTGAATAAATTTCAAAATACTTTTTTTTTAACTCAACATTATTAAAATCCCTCAGTCAAAATTCCAAATTATCAAGCACCATCATCTCAATCTGAATATTCATTATCTCAACCACCAAAATCTATGTAAGTACCACTAGCACCAGTTAATACATTATCTCACCCATTGTTTTCTGAATCTACACCAACATCTGGCATCAGCATACAACATATAGCATCAGCTCCCCTTATGTAAAAGACACTAAGTTTTATTCTGCCAAAAAGTCTTGCATGAAAGACAACTCAAATTATAATCACAAGTATAAAAAAACTATTTAATTAATTGGTTTTTTTTTTTTTTTATTTATTATTTTAATTGATAATATTGATTGCTTATTTTAATCAAGCATTCTTTTAATTACCCATCAACTTCCATTTTTCATACTTCCATATGTATGGGTAAAATAAAAATTATTATCTTTTTAATATAATAAAATTTCACAGAAAACTTTTATTGACTAAAGAAACTGTTGATTTAACATAATTTAAACACTATTAAAAGCGTTTTATTTTTTGCATATAGTATCACTTTGATAAGTACAAGAAAATATCAAAATAAATTAACTCTGATGTTTAAGTGTATGGAAAATAATTGCTTTAATTAATAAGTTCAAGTAATAAGTAGTGAGTTGAAGTGTAAAGAACGCGTAAAGAAAATAAGTGAACAAAATTGTCAAAAAAAAATTATTTTACCTTCATTTTTACTCGTGACTAACTAATTTCTTTGCATCATTTTTATCTCAAATTAAACTATTTTTATTTTTTATCTAAAAGTTCAAATGCAAGAAATATTGAAAAGTAAAATCTGCGTAAGCCAAACATAAAATATTTGCGATACTTTAAACTTTTAAAATAAATTTTTCTTTCAAATTTTTTTTTATAGAATATGAAACAATTTATAAGCATATAATCTAACATATTTATAAGAAATAAAAGCTACGCTTTTAACAATTTTATTTTATTTTTCATTAAAATTATCCGCACTAGACGACAGAATGCGTTGCCATTATAAATAAACAGCCATTATAAACAAACGAACATTCGGCAACCGTCATAATAGTCACTTATGCATAAGAGTCAGAATCAGGCCTCCAAATTGCTCGAATTTTTCATATATTGATCAGAATATAGAGAAAACCTGTTTGGAAAAAAAAGTTTTCAAAAATGTTTTGTTCACTCGGAATCCAGGTTTAAAATTTAGAGATTTTTTGAAAAATTTTCAGAAATTTAGTTTTTGCCACCTATGAATCCAATTTTTTGCCAAGACAGTTGCTCCCAAAAAATATAAAAAAGTTGCGTGACAGTGTGCAGTTGGCTAATTATCATAGTTCAAAAGTACAAAAACATTCAGTTTTTTTTAAGGGAGTTAATTCTAACGACGAAATTTTGCACACAATTTTTTTTTCAGGGTTTTTAAATATCGAATGTATTGAGTCTAAAAATACAAAGAAAGTTATGTGATACCTTTGGCCTATTAATATATTAAGGCTTGAAATTGAAAAAATATGCTATAGTATACTTAAAAAAGACCTATTACGGCAGAGGCGCTAAGTTTTGTAAAAATATAATCAGGTTAAATTGTCAATATAACATAACCTTAACATAATTACAAAAAAAACTCATGCGATCTTTAGATATTAAGTAACAATTAAAGGTACAAAGTGTTAAAAATGATTAAGTAGGAAAAGATATTTTCTGGAAAGCACAGATGAAGGATTCAGATCGATTTTCGCTCAGCAGCACGATAAATCTTCCAAAATTAGCATTAGCATTGCAGAAAATATTGCGCTTAATGTAAGCTTAAAATTTAAGTGTTTCTATCTATGATTAAAAAAATCATAACAATTGAAATAAATAATAATAAAATACAATATACAATCAGAAGTGAATTATTTAAATTTATGTCATAAGCAAATAACTTGTGGTGATTGAACAAAACGAAGAACCTCCGATGTCATGATTTTGAAAAGCTAGTTCGTGGGCGATTGTCATAAAACAATTTATTTTATCAAGGACGTATTAATAGATGGACGTTTAACCCATTGTTATAGATCTGAGGCGCCGCAAGTAAACAAAAACCTATGCGAGCTATAATTTTTAGCGTCATTTTTCTGAATAATTTATAAAAGTAAACCGACGTTTTTTCGATAATTTCGACTTTTTTTAAAAAGTACAATTACCTAACATTTTTTAAAAATTAATGCATAATAGTTATATAGAAATAGCTCATCTGTTTTAAAATGTCAAATTTGGTACGTGAGCGCTTTTTAATAAGAACTTATTATTAATAAAACTTAAACCTCAAAAATCATATTTTTGTAAAAAAGTGACATTTAGTTTGCAAGAATGAATACTTCAAAGTGAAACGAATTTTCTAGATGTTGTAGGTAAAACTGTAGATCATATATAGATCAAACTATAGATTACTTGTGGTCTCTATTCCCTACACTTAATTTTCACTATTATTTTAAGTATTTAAATTTCTCATTTTTGTCGGAAATTTTGTCTCACTAAAAATTTTGTTTTAATATTTTTCTGTGACTAACTTTTTTTCTCTATATAAAGATTTCGCTTGAGTTTATAGATCATATAATGAAAAGGCTTTATTTATTTAAAAACTTTTTAGATTTTTTAGGTGTAATGGAATGTTTAAATATTTCTAAGGCTAGACGAGACTATCGTTATTTTGACGTAAAATCAAGTAAAAATATTCTCAAGTTAAAAATAGTTCTCTATTGTTTTGCTATTTATATTCATTAACACATTAACTTAAAGGTAATTATGTGTTTTAAATGTACGCAGACTGTAATATAATTTTTATATTTATATACTTTATAATTATCTGCAGTAAGATTTTGAGACAAAACTCTTTGACCAAAAAAAATGGCTATTTTAATTAATTCTCCACTCTTTAATAAATAATCACTAAGTTAATCACACTCTACGCAATATTCTATTTTAATAACAAAACCAATATATTACAAACTTGTGAACATTTTTTGTGAATAGATTATAAGCAAAGCTTTAAATCACACACCAAGTAATTGTTTCAAAAGTCTTTTTTTAGGTCATGCAATCCAACGATAATAATGTTTGGAAAGAGAATGGACTTATTACAAATATGGTTAAAAGCAGTCTTGAAAAGGATGAACAAATACGTGCTTTTCACCAGTATACGTTTGGTGTTGCGTGGAGTCCTCCAAAAACATGCTTTCGTCCTCATCATTTAAATTTAAAATGAAAATAATTCTCCCGCTTTAAAGTCGTCACCAATACATGTCGTCTTATCAATCTCAAAGTGATGCAATGAATAATTTTCTGTTAATGCAATGTTGTGTTTTACTCGTTTAAAACAGAAACTGCTTTATCTAGAGTCGATGAAAACATCAATTTGTGTACAGAAACACAAACACAACAAGAACAAAAATATATATGATACCTGCTACTCCAGATAAAGAATTTAATTCCAGTGAAGTTAATGTTTCACAAGAGATTTTGGACGAATCTCTAAGAAGCCATGAGAATGTAATCGAGGTTCTTAATGTAATCCCAATAAAATATAGATTAATAAGGAAGTACGAATATCTGGAAGATACTACTAAAGATAAATTAAAACGCAAGAATGTTCGCTCAGAAAACTTAGTAAAGAAAAAGTTTACGGAAGTTGTAGCAACATGAGGAAGTACTTATAGACTTTCTTAACAGTAAAAATATTGATGAAATAAATAACCCTCTCCCAAATGGAATTATTTGCTCCCAGAAAGTATATGAACAAAGTGATTCTATGGGAAAGTTAGTTACCCTCTTATTATTAGACCATACAAAGTATACCAAAAAGTTTATATTGAATACATCGTATGGAAATAGCAAAAAAATGGCATGCATCTCATGAAGAGTTGACGCACTAGTCGACTATCTTACAGACAACTTATGAGTCTTATAGGATCGCATATAATTTTATACTATCCTACAGGATATCTTACAGGGTTTGTAAGATTTTATTTTTCTTTCAAATCCTATAGGAACATAAGAAATCCTGTGATTACCCATAGGGTATCTTAAAGGGTTCGTAAGATTTTATTTGTCTTGCAAATCCTATAAGATCATAAGAAATCCTGTGATTATCCTGTAGGGTATCTTAAAGGATTCGTAAGGTTTTCCATTTTTTTAATTTATTTTGAAAAATGAAAAACTTATCGGTAGTGGGTTTCGAAACCCGGATCACTAGACCATTAGTGCCTTACCACCTGCGCTTCACAACATTATAAGTATGGAAATAAATAAAAATATATTATAATTACAAAATAATTAAAAACTATTTTTATTGAATGTATATAAATAAAAGTGTTATAAAAAAATTAAATAATGACAAATTACTATATATATATATATATAAAATGCCGCCAAGAACGGTTTCGCCACCCGGGACAGCAACATGATTGGCGTTTTTAATTATCGAAATTCTCCTATATTATCGGTAAAGGACCTTTGTTCCAAGGTACCTTCATTCTATTTGGTGCCCCTTGGAAATCTGCCGCCCGGGACAATCTGTACCTTACGTTAAAATTAAATTATTACCAAAAAAATCTAGTTGAATTAAAATTTTTTCTCGCAGTCAGAGTGTACATTGAATTGCGTGACTTTCTGAGTAAATTGAGTTGTAGAGTGACGTGATTTAAATCATTAGGCATTATGAATTGCGGGAAAATAAATAGCACTCAAGTGCCCGCAATTCATAATGCCGTCCAGTAGCGCATTTAAATCACGTCACAAATCACAAAAATGAAGATATTAGATAAAAATTAAGATATTAGATTCTCAAACAGCATGTTCATTATAATAAACATGTTGTTTGAGAATCTAATATCTTTTTAATTTTTGTTAAAGAAATATATAAATAGTTGCTATATCATGATTATTTTATATTATGAATTTTATGAAAATTTTATAAACTTGGTAACATAAATATGCATAAATTTTGTTGTATTAATAACTATTATTGTATTTAAACTATACTCTAATTAATTAATAAAAATTAATAATAAAATTTGTTATATATTTATTTTACATATTATATATATATATATATATATATATATATATATATATATATATATATATATATATATATATATATATATATATATTAAAGTTTGAGAGTTTGTTTTATTTTTAACACGATTCTATTAAATTTAAAATGTTTTAGAGAAAGCCTGAATACAAATCATGGAGAGGCTGATAGGTAGGTTTTTTAATTAGGGCATTTTTATGTAGGTAATGTTATTGGGTAGCAGCTTTAAGGCTTACCTATTTTTTATAAGTTGTTGGAGGGGGTTATTTAGAAAATCATACTTTCAGTGCTTGGGTTTTTATTAAATTTTCTATTTTTCTTAACCTATTTTGAAAATTTGGGATCAATTAGTTTAACTTGTTGGATCATGATCCAGATCCAAAAAAGTAGGATCTTGGACTAACAACTTCTCATACTTCATTTATTGAAATAATTATAAATATGTAAGTATAAGAAAAAGCTTCTTGGAAAATATGAAACTTCAGGATTACAAAGAAATGCCAGAATTCAAAATTTAAGTTTTTGACCAGTCATTTGTTTGACCGAATCGATCCATGGATTTGACTAATATGCTCAGATTAGGCATTTAGAATGAATTTTTTTTTTACTTAAACTCGTCTAAATATTTGGAGCAAATAGCTAAAATTTCAAGTGTTTTTACTTTTTACTTAGTCATACTCTTTAAATAATTTAAAAATTTTGTCAG